TAGCACGCATGTGGGTGCACACGTTAAGACGGACGGCTTTGCTGCGCTCACAGACAACAGGTCCATCACAGAAACGTTTCCAACAAGAACATAAACAGACTCTAAAGAGAACAAGTAAAACAACTATTTTAGTTCAATCTGCAAACAAAATGAAGCATTCCGTCCGCTTCACTTCCTGTTCGGCTGCTCTGGGCCGGGCGGGGTGGGGGTGGGGGGGTTAGGATCCAGCCATTAAGAACGGGACGTGCTCAGTGATTGCACGAGGGTTCAGAGGCGATTAAAGCCGCAAGCTTTTTCCTCTGCCTTTTAAAAACATAAAACCTGAGACCTAAAAGCAGGTGGACATTTTTCTCATGAATGTTCTCATTCTCACGCAGATATCAGGATATCACTCTATAAATAAATCTAATTCCTTCCAGCTACTTTAGCCTTCTTCAGCGTTTTGACCGTCAGAAGTGAGGAGTCCAGAACGGGGATCAGAGTGTTTGATTCCAACGGGAACGCCATCGGTGTCTCTAAAGCGGCAGGAAAAAAGGTAAAATAGCAATAATTAGGTGACGGTCTTATTTTTATGGATTTATGTGTTGAATTCCTGTTTAGGCCGTGTGGGATACGGCGCTGTCCAGAGCGGTTCTGTTGGGAACAACCGCTGCTGTCCCCATCCCGCTGATTTTGCTTCTACGAAGGTGAGTCCTGTTTGATCCGTGATGGATGCGAGATAAAACCCACATCAGGTGGAACAGAATGTTTGTGGTGTTGCAGAACGAGACTTTTCCAGAGGAACCCCCTGCTGGTCACTCCGTGCTTCTACGCCAGCATCGCTCTGGTCTTCTGCCTGATGATTCCCGTCTCCTTCAGTTTGTTTCCTCAGCTGGGAACGGTGAGGCTCCGTAACCTTTAAGGTTCTCCTCAGGAGGAACTCGGCTGACTCTGATCTTCTTCACAGATAAACAGGGAGAAGGTGGAGGATGAGCTGCAAGCTGAAGCGGTTGGAGGGGAGTTGTACTACCACAGAGGACTGTGAGGAGACGACAAACTCGCTTGAGTTCATATCTGATGGATTCTGTATTTATTTTTTATTGGTAATAAACTCTAGAAGATAGAAGCACCCGTATATCTACTGTGTCTGTGTTTATATAGAACTGAAAGTAACATTAAGGATCTACTTTCTGTTGCGGATTCACATCCAACCTCGATCAATACTAAAATCAGTTTTATTTAAAAGGTCGTTTAAAACAGGAATTTACCAAAATGTTGGACATTAATCCTCAAAAGAAAAGCAGGACTCGGCAAAGGTGTTAAATCTAAAAAACAAGATCAACAGAAAACATTTCTGAACTTTAAAAGCAAAACTATTAAATTCATTCAACATCTAACGGAATAGGACGACGTGCTGACTGTTTGTGAGGAATGTTTCTGTAACATTCCTCTTTAATTTTTAGTAGAGCTTCCTGAACAGCCTCTGTTCAGAGAAATAGAGCTCATGTCCTTAAGGACAGATAAGCTAATGGCTAGTCAGAGTGCAGCTAAGACCTGATTCTCAGATATTTAGAAGAATCACAACTAGGAGTTCAGGAGTAAAAAATGAATAAATGTGACACTTTTTGGCATCTGAGCTCCAACTAGCTGTTAGCCCATCAGTCCTGTAGCACATGTGCTGTTTATCTCCAAACTGAGGTGTTCAAGAAGCTGTTAACAGGTAAGGAAATGAAGATTTACAACTAGCGTGCTTGTAAATGGCTGAAATTTGCGGCGTTTCTGTTAAAAGTATGTGGAATATTATCCTACCTGTTATAGCTCACTCAATGAACAACCTCAGGTATGAAAAACCGAGATTAGCTCAGATCAGCAAGGTGAGTGTGGAGCTCAAATAACAGAAAATGTTATTTCTAAACGTGTGCAGCATCACATGGTCGATTGTGTCATAAATCTGCCTGAATTATTAAATAGTATTTTCATAAACTAACCATTCTGACACTTTGTATTCAGTAAGAACCTGTCTCTATTTCTCTAAGATGAGGCCATTCAGAGATTAAATGTTTCCCAAAGAGGTTTTTTTTTCTACTTGAAGATCTTTTTAAAATCTTATTGGAGGATTTTTCTCAATTCAGACCAAAAAAGTGTGTATAATACTTAAACTGTGGTGAGAGCTTCATTAAAGGTGTGGTTCACTCATTTGACCGACACGTTTGCCGTGGTCTCCAGTAGCGATGGATGTCTTTTAGGTCGTACTCGAGGGCTAAAAAGCTCAGACATGCCTGTTTCAGGAACTAGAAGTGAGCCAGATCTGAGTTGAGCTTCAGACGACAGGATTTGGGATCTTACTTCCTGATTTGTGAACATCTCTACTCTGATTGGCTAACAGCAACACAACTTTGTTTGCTCTGCAACGTTGATGTTTTACCTCCACAAATAACACAAGCCTGGAGGACTTCTGCTGTGTGGTGGAGTTGCTAATGCTAACAGTTAGCTTCTACTAGCTGAGATGTTCTCTGCTGTTTCCTGGACGCTAAATCAGCAACAGCCTTCCCTGTTGAGTCTAGATGGGTGAGTCCATGAATGTTAGTGACAGTGTGACGTAGATCTGTCAGGATTTTCTAATCCTAGAGTTTCACCGTCTGTTTTCTTTCAGAAGCTACTGCAGGAGATAGGTGTAGGAGACTATTTTCATGTTCAGCCTGCATGAAACACTCAGAGTGACCCGTTAGAATCAGAAATAATCATTAAAATGTTTTTTCAGTGAACCACACCTTTAATGCGAACTACTTTCTATCAAACCTCTGATTCTCCTCTAGAGGAACCTTTGGAGTCTCTGATGAACTTGTAAGATGTTTTGGTTTCATTCCTAAAGGTTCAAATGAAGACAGCTGGACTTCTTTAGTTTCTTGAAGATGTCTCGCTTCTCATCTGAGGAGCTTTATGGGAGAGTCTAGCTTATCAGCTGAAGCTGTGCAGCTGATAAGCTAGACTCCAGTTAGAACCAACAAAGCTCCTTGGATGAGAAGCGAGGCATCTTCAAGAAACTAAAGAAGTCCAGCTGTCTTCATTTGAACCTTTTGGTTTATCATGACCTGGATGACTGAGAACCTTCACCAGCATTCCTAAAGGTGAGGATTGTCGTGATCCAATCTGGGTCTGGATCCACAAACCTGCTCCTCGTTTTGTTTTTCACCGGTCCTTCCTCTTCCTCCTCTCCTCTCCAGAGGAGTAAAGGAGAGTAACGACGTGGTTTTGCAGCAATAGGGACTGCATTAATGAAGCTCCTGCTACAGTTTAAAGCTTCTTATTTCACCTTTTTGTTTAAATTGAGAAAACCTGCCAGAGAAATCGAGAAGGGGGCAGCTGCACGGGGCTGGTGTTGCAGAAGCCAGTGAACCAGCAGGTGCTGGAGGCGTTGGTCTCTTCTAGGAATGTTTACGAAAATAAAAACAAACATTCCTCTACACAAGCCTCCCAACGTTAGAGCAACACTCAGATTTGAGCTTATAAGCCGCAGAGTCTGAGAACCCGTTCAAATCCGTAAGAGCTGCTCCACAGCTGCCAGATGAAACAGGAAGTTCTCGGTGGCCGGAGGGAAGTGATGCCGCTTCAGGGCTTCCAGGGTGATCCTGGAGTCGTCGCACTCTTCGGCCAGAGCAGCCAGGTTGTTCAGGACTTCTTTAGTCTTGACGGAAATGTCCTGCGAACGAGAGTTTGTTTGTTTTTATTCGATTTAGGAGGGCCTCTGTGCCGAGTGAGGCATTAGAGGAGCTCCCACCTTGATGACCTGACCATCCGACTTGTCGGGATCCTCCGCAGACTGGACGATGACCTGAGCGATGTCCTTGTGCAGCTTCCCCATGGCCATGGCCTCTGTGAGGGAATGCCAGGAATCAATCTGAGAAGATTCAAGCCCGTTGCGTTCTCGTGGAGCCTACCGTACCTTTGGCACTCTGGGACACGGTGATGACTCTGTCTGGGAGGTTCACAAACACATCAAACAAGTCCGATCTGTTGCTCACTTCTGCATCTACGAATCCCGCTACGTACCCTGCGGAGAAGAAGGTAAGCACGTCGGCTGATAAATAATTAATTCAGCCACCATTAGAGGACAGCACAGATGGCAGCAGATCACAGTTAGCAAATGTTTCCTGTTAATTAGCTAAAGCAGCTGGCCGCCTCACCAGGGCATTTCTTCAAATCCTCCAGCTCGGCGTGGGTCAGGTGGACGTACGGGTGCAGGATGGACCAGTCTTTCCTGTGCCACGTCAGAGCAGGAAGAGCTCTGCTCAGAGAGAAGAGGAAGAGTTAAGAACCAGACGCTCCTCGCCTCGAGCGGGGGTTAAAGTCCAGGATTCACCTCGTAAACTCCAACAAGGCTTCGATTCGAGGATGAAAGACCACCATCCTCTTCTTCAGCATCAGGGCGGTGTACAAGATGATGGTCTCCACGCCAAACTGAGACACCACGTCTGAAACCAGAGCGGGAGAACGGCGCATTACAGCTTTCTGTCGGCTTTCTTTTGATTTTTAGAATCAAGTAATATTGTTTTGTTTTTTTTAATTCTGGTAAAATTCTGGAGCTAAACTCTAATTTCTGCCTAAAATTCATTCTACAATCCCAAAAGTAGATTAGAGATCATTTTAGGATTATGTAAACTACGACCAAACGTTTAATGTACAAACAACAGAAATGTTGAAGCTGCTGCCACTGCCTCATTAGGGTCACCATGGTAACTGCACATCTGTAGTTTGGTGAATCGTTATCGGTCTCGTGTGGTGACTGTGTGTGTAGCGGACGAACCCTCCGCACCGTCACTCGTACGAAAGCGCTGAACTGAAGCCCAGTGGGCGGTTCCCCCCACCGCCATCTTAGCCACGTCACGCGTCTCATCTCAGGAAATACAAAAATGGAGCTGAGAGCGGGGCTGTGAGCACGGGGGTTGATGACTGACACCCATTAACTCATTCACTGCCAAGGACGACTAAAGTCGCCATTTGCATTTTTTTACTGTGTGGGCGTCGGACGAGCCCCCGCACCTCAGCTCTGAAGCCGATCTTCATCCGCGTACGTCACACGTCACGTGATCAGGAAGCAGAACATCCATGTGTTAGGAGATCGTTTTGGGCCGCTGCTGTAATAAAAAGTGAGGCGCGAACCGGAAAAGCTTCTGCCGATCACAATTCAACAACGGATTATGAAAGAACGGATAACGCTCCAAACGCGCGGATTCTTCCTGATGTAAGAGGTGAGTCTCCGCTTTGTTTTGGTTGTTTTGGCGTTGACATCATCCTAGCGCGCAACGTTCTGTGACTCTTAAAAAACAGCAAAAGCGGCGAGAAACGCTGGCAGCGAATGAGTTAAGCTCAGAGCCAATGTAGCTACAAGCTAACTGAAGCTAACAGGGGCGGGTGTGTCTTTAGCCAGGAAATAACGGTTGAGCGACTCTGCTACCTTCTAGGCTGTAACACTTGTAACGCGAGGCTGCGGCTGAGGCCTACCCTGGAGCAGAGAAGGGCGAGTTGCTGCCACTGACAGCTTATCTACTACCTGTCAATCTAAAGGACACGCCCCTAATTATTCATAATTTCAAGCTTTAATCACATCTAAACAGATGAGTTACAAAGAGATTCACCCCCCTCAGAGTTATCATGATGATAAACTAGATCTATTAAACCTAAAATGATTTTAAACCAAACTGTAAATATGTTTATTCTGCTGTGAAGTTGGTATTTTTTTTAACATGGGAGTCAATGGGAACGGTCTCCTTTCTGGAGCCAGCCCCTGGTGGATGAGAGTGGAACTGCAGTGTGTGTGTGTGTGCGTGAGTGCGTGTGTGCGTGCGTGCGTGTGTGTGTGCGTGAGTGCGTGTGTGCGTGCGTGTGTGTGTGCGTGTGTGTGTGTGTGTGTGTGTGCGCGTGCAGAAGGTCTGATGGGAGGTAAAGAACTGACAGAAACGACAACAACAACTGCTTCTGAGCACATAAGGCATTTAAACTGGTACCAGTGGGGCTCTAACAGTAACTGGTGGAAGGTGCGAGGTCTCACCTTTAACTGAACCTGCCAGGTAGGCCTTTTGGACGTCGTAGTCCTTGATGAGGAAGGAGCCGTTTTCGTCGCTCTGACAGATGCCGTTGGTGAGGACGGTGATGTAGGCCTCCATCATCTTCACTGGGCTGCCATGTTTCAGGTACATCCTGGAGAACAGCAGGTAAACGCAGACCAGACGTTTCATTTAGACCGCTAAGCACAGATCGTGGTCGCGAAAAACATCTTCACCTGCAGAGAACTTTATTAAGAGCGGCGTACTTCTCAGGGTTGAAGTCTTTTGCTGTTAAAGCTACTGAAAAGTCTGTGACCTGTGGGGAGAAGAAGTAGATATTTTATGTTCCCGGTATAGAGAAGCTACGTGCTCCTCCCTCCATACCTTGGTGAGAGCCGTGGGCTCCTGCACCTCCACCGTGGTGATGTAGTACCAGCTGCGTCTGAACTGACCGAACACAAACGTGTGAAAATCACAGCCATCCTGAGTCAGGCAGCTTTTGCTGAGCAGCACCTGCCTGAGCTCCGGGCTCACAGACGGGTAGCACCACACCCACAGCACGTCTTTATTCACATCTTTCTCTGGTGGAGGAAACAGAACATCAAGATCAACCTGAGCATGTCAGATGTTAATGTTTGCAACCATCAGGGACAGATCCTGGGTCAAAGTTCAAGAGCTGCAGAGCTGCTCAACCCCCTGCCTGAGGGAAAGAGGGCGACTGATAAACAGAGAGAGAGAGATCTGGCTTCTTCATCTGTCAAAAAGATGGGGAGGAGGAGGAGGAATTAAGGCAAGAAGAGAGGGAGGGGAGAGGTGGGGAAGGATCAAAAGATGGGAGGGAGTGATAATAGAGCCATTTATGTCGTCACAATTCTTTAAACCACAGAATATTTCCTACTCTGACAGAAATATTGTGATGTTTCCAGGCGTGTTACACCTAAAAGTAAATCCAACAGGTGAGATATTAGCCACTCATAACCTTTCTACATATTAAAGCTTAAAAATATCTGAACTGTTCCTTTAATGTTGGCAAACCATCCCAGTGACTGTAAAGTCTGTGTCCACCAGCGCCCCCTGCTGGTCAAAACGAACACACCTGCATATGATGCAGAACTCGGTTGTAATCTAATTTTCTTGTGCTCATGTCATGTTTACAATGTTCCTCGTTCTTTATCCTTCAGAGAAGCTCCTCTCCCTCTGCGTGTTCACACGATGATGGGAATGACGAAACCTCTTCCGTCTGCCACACTGATGTCATGTGATTCTCCTCCAAGTCAACCTTCGCTGAAACAAGTTTCACAAACATCATCCACATCCGATCTGACAGCTCAGACTTACCAAATAACCCGATGCTCAACATAAACTGCGTCCCAGTCGTTGCTGTCATGTTCCATATAGAAGTTAGCTGGAGAGAAAACACCAACTATCGTCCTCTCTGCTCAGAAAAATCTGTCAGAAGTACATTAGGAGCTCGTCCAATGCTAAAATAGAAGCTGCATTGATTCCAAAAAACTGACCAATTAAATCTGGATGATTGTTTTGGGTAAAAATTAAGCTGCTTTGCAACAGACTTTCGTGTCTGTGTGGAACGTATTCTCATTTCCGGGATCAACGAATGTGAAGGCGGAGCTTCGATTCTCTGCCAATTACAATGGTACTGTGACGGTGCGTTCGTGGTAATTGGAATTATGTTAAATCTCCAAGTAAAAGATACTGGCAATAATTTGTTAAATATTTAACAGTGACGCGATCAACATTGAGCTATTCTATTCAAACAAAAATTCATAACTAAGATAATCTGAACAGAATACAGCTTGTGTTTTCCTATGATGCACCGTTATAACACCGATTTAAGTTTTATTTTGATGTTATTGAACGCATCACCAAAAGGAGCATCCCCGCTCCAACTCACATGGGATGCCAGGTTGGCTTAAAAACCCTCCGTTTTGAACGTGTTTAATTGAAAAGCTCTATTAATTATTTGTTTTTGTTTTGATATACCAAAATGACACTATAGTATAATGAATTTATGTCTTTAATTTAAATAAATGTACTGTCTAGATGTGGGAGTTTATGAATAACGTGCTATAGTTAAAATGTATAACTTATAACATTCGTTTGAAATTTTGCTTTTGAAATGTTTGCAAACAAAAAAAAATTAATCAAAGTGTGTATTATACACTGTACGCCTTTAGCTATTAACACACATGTTAATGTTTAATTTTTACTTTTCTTCATCATGGTGTCCTGCTGTAAGGAGGTCGCATCTGGCAACCCTAGCCTGGACGTTCACGAGGTTCTTCCTTTCTCGGCTAGCGTCGTTGCTGTGACTGCGTGGTTCGGATGAACTGGTGAAATTCGTCGAAATTGTAATCAAGTCACTCAATTTTGAGTTTCAGTAGAGCTGCAACAACATGCCGGCGTATTTTCAGCGGCCAGAGAATGCTCTGAAACGAGCGAACGGTGAGTAGAACCCCGGCTTTGTGTGACAGATGAGATGGATTCATGCTAGCTAGCTTTAGCCTGGTAGCTTGACGTTAGCGGCTACTTGGCCGTTAGTAGGTGTTGTGCTGAAAATGGCACCCAGCGCTTTTCCAAGCACGGAAAGCGCATAGAAAGTTGTTAACATTGCAATATGCGCGTGAAACTCGTAACCAACAATCTGCCCTGTGTATTTTACGTTCTCTACATTAATTATGTCTTTTACAAATGTAGTTACAATTTTACTGTTTTTCCAAAGCGTGAAACTTGGAAAAGCTCCATATTCTTTACATCTTCCGACTGATTAATTTAACCTAAGTTGTCATTCATTAATGCACAAATCGTTTAGATAATTTGGAAAAACCGTCACCCGCCGCGCTTTGACTAGTCCGAAGGCAAGTGCGCCTTTTGCCAAAGAGGTGCCTCTTTCGACACAACACTGGAAAAGCGGGGATACCGAGTCGCTGCGTTCCGCTTACAGCCTGTGTAGCTAACTAGCAAGGCCACATTTGTGCTACTGACTGATGCTAATAAATCAGCCCTACAACCATAATGACATTAAACTGAGGCTGTCTGGGTTTTCAAGTGCTAATCATGGCGCACACATGTTAATCATGGCAGCTACGTTAGGTCTAGTTAAGCGTTGGAGTGGGCTTTCTGTGCTCTGACAAGTTCCTCCCTGAAATGTGTTAACACAGAGTTTCTGGAGGTGGGCAAAAAGCAGCCAGCCTTGGATGTTTTGTACGATGTCATCAAGAGTAAGAAACATCGAACATGGCAGAAGATCCACGAACCCATCATGCTCAAGTATTTGGAGCTCTGCGTGGATCTGCGCAAGAGCCACCTGGCCAAAGAGGGCCTCTACCAGTACAAAAACATCTGTCAGCAGGTGTGTAAGAAGAATAAATGTCGTGTTTGTTCACAGCTTGTTGTTTACACCGGAATATTCCTGATTATGTGTCCTCTTATCCGTCAGGTGAACATCAAGTCTTTGGAGGATGTAGTCAGGGCGTACCTAAAGCTGGCAGAGGAAAAGACTGAGACGGCCAAGGAAGAGTCCCAGCAGATGGTTTTGGACATCGAGGACTTGGACAACATCCAGACACCAGAAAGGTGAAACAGCTGGCTTCTTTTAAAACTTTTTTTGTAATAACTCCAGTAGAAAAGCTGTATTTGTGATGCACCGATATGAAATTTTAGGGCCAATAGCGATGCTGATATATTGTCCATCGCTATTGATCACAGTAAATATATATTTTAATTCTGTGATGATAGTGTCCTTCTGAGTGCCGTCAGTGGGGAGGACACTCAGGATCGTACTGATCGCCTGCTGCTCACGCCGTGGGTGAAATTCCTGTGGGAGTCTTACCGCCAGTGCCTGGATCTGCTGAGGAACAACTCCAAAGTGGAGCGTCTGTACCACGACATCGCTCAGCAAGGTAACTGGACACGTGTGTGGAGGGAAAAGCAATCCCAGACCTACCAACCTGTACGCATTTTGCGTAGCCAGAACGCAATTTGGCATCTACGCTGGTACGACTCACCCCTCTAAACTACGCAAAAAGCTGCGGATACGCGAGTTGAGTTCTGTGGCAAATATGCACATGTGGTACCGATGTCTGACAACACGACTCAGCTGCGTGGTGAAGAAGTTTAAGCCAATCATCGTAGAGAAGCAGAGAAAAAACACAGCTAACTGCCTAGCCTATAGCGTAACACCCCCGCCCCCCCTCCTCCCTGCTTCGTCCTGCCCGCTGCTCCTCTCTCCCTCCGGTTCGCCACTCGCTGCTGTTCTGGTAAGGTAAACTGTGTGTGTGTGTGTGTGTCAGCGGGTCGGACCGGCCGTCTTTTGGTGAATGTGAACGCGTAACGTTACTTTCACTGTTGAACTTTCAAGCCGAAATCTTAGGTGGAAAAAAAAATAATAAATCTGCGACTAAAGAGCCAGAGGCAGCTGTGTGTGTGTGTGTGTGTGTGTGTGTGTGTGTGTGTGTGTGTGATTTTCCATCTAGTGAATGGGGAGATTACAGCGTGAAAAGCAACGGAGTTGCAAAAGTCCGCGAAAAAAACGCCGCACAAGTGGTACTCAAAAAAATTTTGACAAGATTGGCAGGTCTGCCATCCAAAAGGAAAGAAGATGCCCACTCAGTCTCATTTATTATGAGAGTTCAGTGTTTCCCCTAGGAATTTTTCCAGCTGTGGCGGTGGGGCCGGCCAGGGGGGGGGGCTTGGGGAGAAATTATGACACGTCTCTAAATAAAGTAAAATTTTCCAGTGCAGAGTGGAGCCAACCCATAGAAGCACTGATTTGATCTCATTTCAGAGAAAAATAGAACAGGTTAGATGCACCTAATAAATAAAATTACTAACAAACTCAGGAATCTTTCTTTGCTTCACTGTTCTGGTGCTGAAAATATCACTAATGCGGATCAAAGGAGATACACAGATGAATGCACCTCTTATTTATTATTTGGAGACTACATTTACTGCAGCTGGCAGAGGCAGAGATTGTTTCTATTGATACACAAATTTACAGAATCATTTTAAATGTTAATAGGGGAAGACTGCAGGTAGGGCTGGGGGTAAACGATTATTTTTAAAACGATTATTCTGACGATTATTTTATCGAATAGTTGACTATTCTAATGACTATTTATACAATTAATCTAATGATTATTTTTCTATTGCACAGTTAATAAAAACCAAATAATCTCTAATAAATTCCTCAAAAAAATTGATTAATTGTTACTGTAAGAGAATAAACACTACAGGCCTCTCATTTTGTATAACACTGCTTTTATTGTGTTGGTTGGTTATGTTCTGGTGATGTGTAGAACTTGGGAGTACAGGCTGCTGCCTGAGAGGTGGTTGGAGACGGAGTGTCTCCATGCTGCTTCGTCTTGGTCACTTATGAGCGTGAGGCGAGTGGTGTTACGACCCTTCCTGGGGAGTTTGGCTCGTGTGCAAAAAGGAAGGGACAATAATATGGGATTTAAAAGTTAAAATGATGATCGGGTTTATTTACAACTACAAAAAACCAAATCTTTCCATCCACAGGTTGGGAGTAATAAAACTAATTCTGCCTGTGGGGAATTAAAACAAAAGTACAGATAACTAGGGATGTCCCACTGTGCAAAGATTACTGGGTTTTGGACCAAAATAAGAATCTCCAAAGTTCCAAACTCTAAACTGGGCGGTTAAACCAACCTCAAGGTGATATTTTAAACTAAACCGAAAACCCAAAACACTCTAAATGTAACAAAAGGGAGATTTTATTACATTTAGACATTTATTAATTTGTACCACAAATTATTATTTTTTATATGTGTTCAACATGTTTAAATATCGCTTGTTTAATTAACCAACATTTCTAGTGTACAGCGCCTTGTTTGGTTGTAATGCCTTGTGAATGTGCTTTATAAATAAAATTGGATTGGATTGTAAAAAGATGAACTCTAAACCAAAACGTAATAGCTTATCCAAACGCAAGAAGCTGTTAGCGAAAATGCTAACAGTAGCTTTACCAACGTTAAGTTGCCAAGTTTAAATAAACCAAAAATACCCAGCAGCAAACAGACCAGCTCGGAGGAGAGACTGCTACCACCAAAACAGCTCTCCTAATGTCTGAAAGAAGCTCCTTTATGAAGGGAGAAACGCTCCCGGTGATTTTCTACATCTGCTATAGAGACGGAGCAGCGCATCTGACCCCGGAAGTTGTTGTCCGTTGCCGGGAAACGAAGGCGGGCAAAACAGGAAAGGAACCTAGTAGCGGATGGACTTTGTTCCGGGTCTTCGGTATTTGGCTGAGATGTTAGTGAAGGCGGAGAAGAGGGCGAACTAGAGGAAAAACAGGCAGATTCCACCTCTATTTACAAACTCCTGGGGATGCAACAAGTGGGCGCGGTGCGTCGACTACCGGATCTGACGTCGACAAATTTTTAGAATCGAGCCGTCGACGTCATCGAAGCTTCGCTACAGCCCTAACTGCAGGAGGGAGCGGTAAAATACAGGGGGTCCCCAGCATAAACAAGAAACTTTACGAGTCTGATGAAACCCGCTGGTTTTCCATCAGGCAGTCCACGGGGCAGCTCCAACGACCCAGTGGCTGTGCTGGGTCAATGTTATCAAGCTCAGTCGAGGCGACGTCGTGCTCTGCCTAAGAAGAGGTGTTATTTTCCCGCTTCAGAAGAAGCATCCAACGTGTTTTTACGCTTTCTCCGAGACATGTCACGTCGCTAAGTTGTTAGCGCGCGGCGCTAACACGTCAATAGTGCAGCGTAGCCTGCTGGAGGTTTTAAGGGTTCAGATGAAAACACCCGACCTCTCACGCTGCTCACACATCGATCTTAAGTTGTCGCTGTTGTGCTCACGCCGTAATACGGTATTAGATGCGGTTAAAGTCAGACATGAAAAAATAAATAAATTTTACATAAATAAGTGATGCTTAGCCTGGTGGGGGGAGGAGAACCTGGCCTAATAAGCACTGGAGGAAACCCTGTCAAGATCGTCAACACTCGTTTATCTTAATGCTATCGAAACATGTAAACCACAAAGCATTATGTCCACTGCTACCTTTCTAATTTTAAACTCAGTAACTTATGCTGTAACTTCACCTTGCCCTGCCTGCTCCTTGCTGCCGCCGGCTGTGATCACCAGCGACAACATAGTAGTTCCCGCTGCTTGTTCGAGAAACAGCGCAAAAAAAAAAAACTTGGGATCTTGTAGGCGTGGAGGTGGGATTTCAGCCGCGGCGGGCCACCACGGCTACGCCTATGTAAGGGAATCCCTGAGAGTTATTGTCAGAGGTGAAAGGCTGTGAGAATTATCAGGTTAAACGGGTGCATTTTCTACCTGAACACCAGAGAGCAGGTTACTGTAAAATATGTCTGACACCAAACATACATTTTGACTAGAGAGTTTTATTATGTGTGGCCCTGTTTAGTTTAGTTTTCAGGTTAAAGCGGGTTCGACAGGATTGGCTGCAGCTGAGCGAAAACCATGCAGAGTTAACATTTGTCGTCGTCTTCTTCTGCAGCTTTTAAATTCTGCCTCCAGTACACCCGCAAAGCAGAGTTCCGTAAGCTGTGTGACAACCTCCGCATGCATCTGGGTCAGATCCAGCGACACCACAACCAGAGCACCGCCATCAATCTGAACAACCCCGAGAGCCAGTCCATGCACCTGGAGACGCGTCTGGTGCAGCTGGACAGCGCCATAAGCATGGAGCTCTGGCAGGTCGGCTCGGATGCTCATTTTTTTTAACTGGATCTAATTCTGTTGGTTTATTAATAATAAAACTGTTGCACTGATCATTAACGACCAGTAATGTCACCTGCATTAGTAGGTATGGTGACCTTTAGCAGGATCCTTCTGAAGTTTAAAAACAATTAGCCGTTGTTGAATACTGGCACTTTGTTTTGGTGTCACCAGGAAGCTTTTAAGGCTGTTGAGGATATCCACGGCCTGTTTGCCCTCTCCAAGAAGCCTCCAAAACCTCAGCTCATGGCCAACTACTACAATAAAGTGTCTACTGTCTTCTGGAAGTCTGGAAACGCTCTTTTTCACGCCTGCACCCTGCACCGCCTCTATCACCTGTCCAGGGATATGCGCAAGAATCTGACCCACGATGAGATGCAGCGGTATCCTGTTCTCTAACTTTAACCCTGCAAAATCAAAACAGGGATATAACATCTGTCTTTGACCTTCAGGATGTCCACCAGAGTCCTGCTGGCTACTCTGTGTATCCCCATCACCCCTGAGCGTACGGACATCGCCCGGCTGCTGGACATGGACGGCATCATCGTGGAGAAACACCGCCGGCTGGCCACGCTCCTCGGGCTTCAGTCCCCTCCGACGCGCCAGAGCCTCATCAATGACATGGTGAGGAATCTGAAGCTTGGAGCATACATTCAGTTCCTCTGAGGTTTAATAGATGCTTCAGTTTAACTTTTCATGCTTGTCACAAAAATCTGAAACAATCAAACTTGGATATGTGTTGAATCTTTAAAGACAAAGTTTGTTTACTGTTCCCGTGTGAATGTTTCAGGTGAGATTTAACCTGCTGCAGTACGTGGTGCCTGAAGTGAAGGAGCTCTACAACTGGCTGGAGGTCGACTTTCATCCTCTGAAGTTGAGCGGAAGAGTCACCAAGGTGATCATTGCAGTCATGAAGCTGCAATGGCAGCACGTAGCACTGCTAGTGAACTGTTGCTGCATCTCATGACGTCATCTCCCATCAGGTGCTGAACTGGGTGAGAGATCAGGCTGAGAAGGAGTCTGATCTGCAGCAGTACGTCCCTCACCTGCAGAGCAACACCATCCTCCGGCTGCTGCAGCAGGTAGAAACTCTTCTTCAATAAGACCTGCCAATAACTGGGTGGTGGTTGTCATTCGTGTTCTTGTATTATTATTATTTATTTCAGGTGGCTCAGATCTACCAGAGCATCGAGTTCAGCCGTTTGGCCTCCCTAGTGCCGTTTGTGGACGCCTTCCAGCTGGAGCGCTCCATCGTGGACGCCGCGCGGCACTGTGACCTCCAGGTGGGATCAAATCTAACGAGATATTTTAAATGTCTGAGTCTGACTCGGGTGCTACCATAGCAACAGGCAGGGATGGCTTCAGTGTTGTTTGCTCTGTAGGTTCGAATCGACCACTCGTCTCGCACTCTGAGCTTCGGCTCGGACCTGAACTACTCCACCAAAGAGGATTCTCCAGTGGGCCCGTTCCTGCAGAACATGCCGTCGGAGCAGATCAGGAATCAGCTGACGGCCATGTCTGCGTCTTTGGCTAAAGCCATCCAGATCATCAAACCCACGTCCATTCTGGTCCGTTCACATATGAAACACAAAGGGTTTGACAACCCTGTAAAGCTGGGATTCTTGTGTATTATTTAGCAGTTTTCATCTTTATCCGTGATTTTTTGTCATTTTTCAGCAAGAACGGGACGAGCAGAATCAGCAAGCTATCGCTGCGTATCTGAAAAACGCCCGGAAGGATCACCAGCGCATCCTGGCTCGCCGGCAGACCATCGAAGAGCGAAAAGAGCGCCTGGAGAGCTTAAACATCCAGCGCGAGAAGGAGGAGCTAGAGCTGAGGGAGGCTGAGATGCAGAAGGTTCGCAAAGCCGAGGAGGAGCGACTGCGCCTGGAGGCCAAAGAACGGGAGAAGGAGCGGATCATGCAGGAGCACGTGGAGATCAAGAGGAAGACGGCGCGCGAACGCCTGGAGCAGATCAAGAAAACAGAGCTTGGCGCCAAAGCCTTCAAAGATATCGACATCGATGTAAAATCTTACGTTCCGTTCAGGTGAAAACAAACCAAACTGCATTTTCAAAGCCAGACTAACTTTATTTGTTATATCTGAACAGGACATGCAGGAACTGGATGCTGACTTCATCATGGCTAAACAGGTGGAGCAGCTGGAGAAGGAGAAGAGAGAACTTCAGGAGCGTCTGAAGAACCAGGAGAAGAAGGTTAATAGATATCGTCTGGTTTAGGTCAGAGGTCTTTTCCTGACCCCCTGAACTCCTGTTGACTAGTGGTCAACTACTAGTTAGTGTTTGGTTTAGCTGAGATGTGTTTATACCCTATGAACCCGTTAGGATTCCTGATGTTGACATAAAGATAAAAAGGTGTTTATAAATATTTAACAGTAACCCCAAAATTCCACTATCTCCGCTCCGGCACGAACTCCGCAGCAAAAACGGTCCCGTTGTAGTCAATCAGAGCTGTTCCACTACTGCGGCCGTGCGGCGCAGTGAGTCGTTCCGCCATCCGGCAAAAATAGGATCGATTCTATTTTTGCCGGACGCCGGAGCACCTCCGCAGTCGATGGACAGAAACCACAACGGCCCAACAGGAAAAGGAGCAAGCACAACTTCCGTTTTTCACAATAAATCGATAAACAAAAGGCGTTTTTTGTTTCATATGCACATGTTTAACAACTTTTAACAACTATCAATGGTGGTTGAAGTTTAAATGCACAAAAACAAGCCATAAATACAGTTTCTACTATCAAAGTAGTCACCCTTTGTTGATCCAAACACTGCTGATCTCTCAACACAAATGATGGGCAGATTAAACAGCTCATGTCGATGCTTCTCCCACACAACGGGTGTTTGGATCTAACTTCCGCGTTTATTGCTCGGACTGTATCGCAAGATCTCGAAAATCCCGCGCATGCCTGTTTGCGCACCTCAGGTCTCCGCACCGGAGCGGAGCCGTTGTAGAGCGGGTACCAAGAAAAATTGAGTTTGGAAGCGAGCGGCTGCAGAAGGCGGGGGCGGAGGTAGTGGAATTTGGGGGTTAGTGCTTCACCAACTCCAGATCCTTAAGGATCACCTCGCTAAAGAAACCAGGGATGACTCCGGTGGTTGTTTCTCCTGCAGATCGACTACTTTGAAAGAGCCAAACGCCTGGAGGAGATCCCTCTGATCAAGAAAGCTTATGAGGAGCAGCGCATCAAAGACATGGAGCTGTGGGAGCTCCAGGAGGAGGAGCGGGTGTGTGAGGAGAGCAGATGGACGTGTGGAGCTAAGTCTGAGTCAAACATCTGAGTCACGTCTTTTCTTCTGTAGATCGGAAACCTGAAGGTCGAGCGGGAGAAGGCCCTGGAGCATAAGAAGCGCATGTCCAGGATGGTGGAGGACAAAGACAGCTTCCTGTCCAAAATAACTGCAGCCCGCAGCTTCATCTACGAGGTGGGACGTCCAGTCCGTCCCTCATCCAGCGCTGATGACGGCAGCGGGCCTGAATCCCTGTTTTTGCTTCGTAGGAGAAGTTGATCGCGTTTCAGGAACGTCTGGTGGAGGAGAGGAAGAAGCGCCTGGAGGACAGGAAGAGACAGCGCAAAGAGGATAGGCGCAACGCCTACTACCGCCAGAAAGAGGAGGAGGCTCAGCGCATCCACGAGGAGCAGCTGAAGAAAGGTCAGTGGTTCCTCCGATGCAGGAACTTCTCCCCGACTGATCATCATGTGAACGTACGCGTTTCCATGCGCCGTGTTTAGAGCGGGAAGAGCGGGAACGCCTGGAGCAGGAGCGGCGGGAAGAGGAGGAGCGGGTGTACCAGGAGCGTCTCCGAAAGCTGGAGGAACAGGAAAACAAACAGCGTCTTCGGCAGCAGGAGATCGAGGAGCGTGAGCGCCGCCGTGAGGAGGAGAGAATCGGCCTCCAGGAGGACAAGTCCAAGGTAAAACCGACGGGATTGGATAAAAATGTAAAAAATTCCCAAGTTTTAGTTCTGAGATTGAGCGGTTGTGGTGATGTCATTCACAGGACCGGGGAGAGAAGGACACCGGAGGATGGAGGAGACGCACGGAAGGAGGGGAGTCAGAATGGCGTCGCCCCGTCCCCGACAGGTGAGGACATAAAGGTCCTGCGTTACTCCGTCCTGCCGTTTGAGCGACTGCTTGAAACGCTGCTGTGTCCTCTCCAGGGAGTGGAGACAGGAAGGCCGAGACGAGGACAAAGAGGAGGGTTCCTCGAGGAGAGCCGATGCTCCTCGCAGGGACGGAGACGACCGAGGGCCTCGCCGAAGTTTTGATGAGGAACGAGGTTCGCGTCGTGTCGGCGAAGATGGCCGCCGTCCTCGCAGAGCCATGGACAACGATAGAGACGTTCACAGAGGGTTCGACGACGAGCGCGGCCCGAGGAAGGGCGGAGACGATGACCGCAGCACGAGGCGTAACCTGGACGACGACCGCGGCTCGAGACGCTTTGATGATGAGCGAGGTCCACGCAGAGGTCCGGATGAGTCCCGGATGTCCCGGCGCATGGCCGACGACGACTGGGGTCCTCGGAGAGGAGGAGATGATGACCGAGGCGGAAGGAGATTCATGGATGATGGGCCACGGCGGGGTGGGGACGACCCCAAACCCTGGAAGCCCCTGGGTAAACCCGGTTAGTCCGGATCTGTACGCTCCTAACGGATGTGCTGTTGGACCGGACCGGATGATGAGCAGAGTCCTCCGCAGGTGGCTGGCGTGAGCGAGAGAAGGCCCGCGAGGAGAGCTGGGGACCCCCGCGCGGTGGAGGTAACGATGATGGAGATGAAGGCGAGGGAGAAGAACGGCCAAGCGATCGCTTCAGAGAGCGACGCCCCAACAGGTGAGTCATCGTACATTTGTTTGTTGCAATAATCCAGAATAATCCAGAGTTTGGGTCGGCTGGGCTGATTAGTGACGGGTTTCTACAGGGAGGAGGGTCCCTGGAGGAGAGGAGGCACAGACGACGGGGGCTGGAGAGATTCTCGTAGAGAGGACCGAGACGATCACCGTGAACGTGATGACCGCCGTGAACGTGATGATCGCCGTGAACGCGACGATCGCCGTGAACGCGACGATCGCCGCGTAGAACGCCGTGAGCGCCGTGATGACCGCGAGCAACGCCCGCCCCCCAAAGAAACCGATGAAGGTAAAGAGGGCGTGGCCCACAGTGGAGATGTGGTATTAGAGCTGAATCTATCAGAATTCGGGATTATCTGTTATTTTGACCGATTAAAGGCGGGTTGGATTGGGATTAGATCTTAATCTGAAGGTTTTGGACCAGTTTATTGGTACAGCGCCCTGAGATGACTTGAATTACCGATCACCACGGCGATGGAGGACACCGTTTTTTAACGGAGACGTTTTCTGTTTATTCAGATTATTGAAATCACCTGGATTAAATGAAGCGGTAATTATTTGGAGAGTAAATTTTGATTTAGGTGTATTTTCAACAGGTAAAGATGACAGAGGTTATTTCTGTATCCATAGCAACGGTAGTTTGGGCTGTTGGACGACAAGGCAGCAGAAAGCTAGTTTAGTTAATTTAGTTTCAGATTTAACAGATTTTATTTTCTCTCTGGCGTTCCCGCGGAGTTGGGAATGCGTTAGATATTCAATTCAATTCAGTTTATTTATGAAGCGCCAAATCACGACAAGAGTCGTCTCAAGGACCTTCACACAGTAAACATTCCAGTACAGGTCAGTTCAATAAGCCAATCAGAAAAAAGTATCTTTTTCCTCATACTAAGCAAGCATGCAGCGACTGTGGAGAGGAAAACTCCCTTTTAACAGGAAGAAACCTCCAGAGGATCCTGGCTCAGTATAAGCAGCCATCCACCACGACTCACTGGGGATGGAGAACACACACACACACACACACACACACACACATTCAATGTTAAAGAGAGTAAAATGTTATTATCAGGAGAGGGAGAATGTTGTTAGCAGGTCGGCAGCAGAGGTCGCCGTTGGCTCATTCACCCACTGTGTTTAATGTTTTTTTTGTTTTCGTCTCCTAAGGAGGCTCCTGGCGCCTCGGCGGTGAGGAAAGGCGGGAGGAGCGGGACAGAGAGCGGCCCAGAGAACGGGAACGTGACCGTGAGACCGATGGGGAGAAGGGCTGGCGCACCGAAAGAGAAAACCCTCGTCGCACCAAGAACGAGACGGACGATGACGGCTGGACCACCGTGCGTCGCTGAGCGTCCTGCGGGCTCGGTGGCCGCCTGATCCGGAGAATCCCTGAGGATTCTTTCACCGTTTGATACCTTCGAAGTCGGTCGGGTGGCAACATTTAACGTTTCACCTCTAGCTTGATGCTGAAGCATCTGTAGGTTGTAGTTTCCTGAGAGTGTCCATCTTTATTTTGTCTTCCTGCAGTTTCTCCTAACAGGTTTGTCTCAAAAGTCATTAACCAATCTGCTCAAAGCAAACCTCATTCCGACCTCCGACCCCCATGGTGGGTGGAGGAATTTAGATTGGTGGAAAACTGAAAGGAAACTCCTCCTCTGCTTGTTTTAAACCAACGATTAGACATTTCTCTGATCTTTGCTCTTCACCCGACTGAAGGAGATGCTTCTTAACCTGTCGGAGACCTGGTGGTGTTTCCATGGCGATGTGCATGCTTAAATTGATCATATTATTTCCTAATATCCAGCTTCTGTCCTGCTGCAATCCCTGGTTTCCAATCAGATGGTGTGTGTGCAGATTAACGCTTTGCTAATAAAGATGTTTCAACACTCTTGGAAATGCTTTTATTTTGAAAAATCAAATAAAGGTTCAGGTTTCTGCATCACATGTTTCGGAAAATGAAGGGTTAAAACATCAAACGCATGAAAACCAGTTTTCTTCTGGATGTTGCCTTTGATCAGACTCATCGGATCGGGTTTCCTGTCATTTCATTATGACCACCTGTTCGGCTCCTGTATCCAAGTCTAATCAGCCAATCAGGCGAGGTTTTAGGACACGCACTAGACTAACCTCAGTCCAGATCCTTTGGGAGGTGGTGGAACAGGAGGTTCTCCGCATGGATGCTGCCATGTCTAGATGGACCATGTTTTAGCCTTAATATTACGTTCACTTCAAAACAAACATCCACTAGATTAGATTAAATTAGAGGTCTGAAACAGGCTAGGGTTACATCTCTTTTAGTAATCTTGACCAATATTTACACAGGCATAAAGGTTTAGAATATTTGGCAACATGTTATTTCTACTAAAATATTTATAGACATAACATCTTACCCAGCTGGACGAGGCCATTTTAGTCTATATTTTATTAAAACACATCTGAAATTAACTAAAAAGGAAAGAAAATGTTTTAATAAAACTAAACGTTATATTATTACCTGAATTTTATTATTACTCAGTTACACTACATTTTAACTCTTATTGTCTTGTTAGATGGAATAATTGAACACTTTTTTTAGCACAAAAATACAAACTGAATTTACAGATTCAGTCATAAATGCTCCAGGTGCTCGTGGATTCATAGTCGGTTCAAATGAAGGCAACTGGACTTCTCAGGTATCTTGAAGACGTTTCGCTTCTCATCCGATGAGCTTACTCAGTTCTAACGAATACGGGAGAGTCACACCTTCCTGCCTCTAATCACGATTCCCTCACAATAGAGGCTAACGACTCATCGGTGGCTGGAGAGGGGGGTACTCAGAGTAGCTTCTGCTCGTTAAATAACAACATCTATCCCATATTCCAGTCAGAACTGACAAAGCTCCTCGGATGAGAAGCGAAACGTCTTCAAGAAACCAAAGAAGTCCAGTTGCCTTCATTTGAACCGTTTGGATTATTTACAGTCAGATTTTTCCTAACTGGGTTTTTGATCATTAGGATGATAACCAGGAAGCTTCTTCAGGATCCAGAAGTTCTTTTCCCAACCAGCAGAGGCCAGTAAAGCACCACGTGTCACCAGAAGTGTGTGCTGGTTCAATCCCGTCCGTGCTCATCGGTCAGCAGCAAGAAGACCCTAAAACCTGGAAAACACTTGGATCTGCAAAAGGAGCAAAAGGAAAAAAAAATAAATATATATATATATCAAAAAACATGTTAATTAGCCTATATTTGTCATATTTCACATGGATATAAGGGAATCGATAATAATAATAATAATAATAATAATAATAATAATAATAATAATTGGTTAAAATAGCAACAAATATGGTTGGATTTCAAAATAAAAGACGTGTAATGAGCTCAATAATGTAGTTAACAAACAAAGTAAATCCCCAATAACAATAAAGTATCAAAAATGGCTTTTATTAAAGTGGTAAATATGATTTATATTTTTTAGTATAAACGTGAAACTTCATCTGGTGTTTTGAAAGATGTAATATTTTATATTTTAGTCTTCATAATTTTATTTTGCTATTAACCCAACCCACAAAATTATTATTATTGTTATTTGAGTTGTTATTGAAAAAAAAACTAAATATTTAGAAAATAATGAAAACGGGTTTTTATTTCTTACGTCAAATTACACTTTTTGAAAAAGTTTCCCTTTTCTAAAAATGTAATCTATGCTTTTTTTCTTCCCTGAAGGCCTCTGGCGCGCGCGGCACACCTCGTGCCAACTGCTCGACGGCCACGCAGGTACTCGCACCGCTCACCTGAGCGTCTGAAAGTCTTTCGGGTGTTTTTGTGCGTTTGGAGTCTTTGCGTCGTGCCTCCAGATTATTATTGTCCCGTCAGTCTGAATGGTTAATCTGGAGAATTGAGGTTTGGGAGCTTTTACAGAAAAGTGGTGTTTGGGATCCGTGCGCGTTTCTGAGTAAACAGGATTCTTATTTCCCATCAGAGCTGGAGTCTCCTGCTCCAGAACCAGCGGGGCATCCAGCCTCTCCAGCTCAGATGAACGAGTTAAATATCCTGAGTATGTATGCGTGTGCGCGTGATGCATGCGCGCGTATGGGGGGCCTCCTCTCTGGACGAATCCGTTCCGTGCTGCGCGTCCGAGTCCGCCTCTCCGCGCCCCTGCTTCCTCACTGACGCACTTTTTAAGCGTCTTCCTCCTCGTCCACCTTAAGGCAGCAGCAGCAGCGGCGGCGGCGGCGGCAGCAGCGACCAATCACCATGCCATTACAGCCTGCACAGGAAGCTGTTTATGGGGCTGCAGCGCTAATTAGGCTCATGAACTAACAGGTCTGCTGCACGAACCCGGCCAGGAAAACGATCACATCCATGGATTAGTCTGGGAGCACAGGCGCGCTTCCCACTTCGGCTTTTCTCGGCTCCGACGCGCCTTCCCACAAACTTTTCCCCACTTTTCTTCACTGTGGAGTATTTTCCTCCCAACGACGCCCACAACAACTTCCACCTACACTGGGAAACCTGGACTATCAGACCATGTTCCAGCCCACACCCAAGCGGTGTTTCACGATAGAATCTTTAGTGGCGAAGGATAATCCGGTTCCCGCGTCCCGGTCCGAGGAGCCCATCAGGCCCGCGGCTCTCAGCTATGCAAACTCGGGCCAGATCAACCCGTTCCTCAATGGCTTTCACTCCGGCGGCAGGGGCGTGTACTCGAACCCGGACTTGGTGTTTGCTGAGGCGGTCTCTCATCCGCAGAACTCGGCGGTCCCGGTGCACCCGGTGGCCCCGCCGCACGCGCTGGCCGCTCACCCGCTCTCCTCCTCACACAGCCCGCACCCGCTTTTCGCCAGCCAGCAGCGGGACCCGTCCACCTTCTACCCCTGGTTGTTACACAGATATCGGTACTTGGGTCACAGATTTCAAGGTGAGGAGTTCCGTTTGGATTTTACGCACATGTGCCGCTCGGCCGCGGCGGCAGGGCTTGGTTCCGCCACACAGGGGGGTTTAAGAAAATAGACAACTTTTAGAGTCAGTCTGAAAATGTTTTCATTAATTTTCTATTTCTCTGGAGAAAACACAAATAAGACGCGATTGGCTGAATTTGTTGTTTTGGAATAAACAAACCAAAGGCTTAAAGAGACCAGAATCATTTCTTGTTTACACCCTCAGTCGTTTTTTACTACAATATAGTTAAAAAATAAAAGTTTTCTTTTTACGTTTTGAAAGATTATTTCCCACACTTGGCTGTTTTTAGCATTTTAACCAAAAAATGACATTAAACACGATTATTAGGCTTATTTTTTCTCATTTTCTTTTATAAACATCAGAAAACATTGATTATTTTTTCTTGTTTCTCCCTGCGTTCACTTGGATTTGTGCCTATTTTAAAAATAGTTTTACCAATTGGACCAAACAAACGTGGCGTTTGAGGCCATCCAGTCATATTTTTGTTATTCCTGAAGGTTTTTTTCGACTCTTAAATTCTGCAGAAATTATCCCACATGGATTTTAAAATTAATAATAATTTAAAAAGCAAACAGTAAATTCCCATCTGAGAAGAGCAGCTTTGTTATTTACTCTCACGCCGCTCTTTGTGCGCCTTATTGTCTACTTTGCGCCAGACCTTTTTGTGATGCAAATGTTCAAATCTAGATTTATTTCTAATTCTGAGTCACTTAAAAGTCTTTTTCTTTTTTTCTTCCTGCTCGATTTCAGGCAACGAAACGAGCCCGGAGAGCTTCCTTTTGCACAACGCGCTGGCCAGAAAGCCCAAAAGAATCCGGACGGCTTTTTCTCCCTCGCAGCTCCTGAGGCTCGAACACGCGTTTGAGAAAAACCATTACGTGGTGGGAGCCGAGAGGAAGCAGCTCGCGCACAGCCTTAGCCTCACAGAAACTCAGGTGAGAAATGTTGAATTTAATAATCCTGCCTCAGACGTTTACCTGAACGCAGCTGCATCCTGTGTTCGCTTGTTTGCGTGTTAGCGCAATTTGGAGAGGTTTTACGCATGACATGATCCCAAATAGCAGATTATTGTTGTGGATTCGTTTTTATTATTGGGATAATTTGTCTGATTGCTGCTGGAGCTGATGTGTGGTGTGTTTCTTTACCTGACATTGTGCGTCATGACGCTTTCTAACCAAGACGCAGGTGAAAATAACTTTACGCACCAAAAAGTGTAAACATTTTGTTTTTGGAGACCCGAAATGCGTGTCGCTAATCGAACAGCGCTTTTTAAAAGAGGGAGTGGCCTTTTGGAAATGGAGGGCAAATTAACCAGTTAACCATTTAATGTTATAGACGCGTAACAAAGCGCAGTGGCACGTTTAAGATGCTGTTTGAACCCGCTGCTTTTGTCCTGCGCGGCTCCTTTTGGATGGCGGGGCTTTTCGGAGGAGCTGAGAGGAGAAATGAACCGTCACCTCCTCCAATTAGCCTAGTGAAGGCTTATTAAACGCACCTCAGTTACCATTTAGGAGCTGAAAGGGCCGCAGAGTGACAAAGCAGAGACGGATAATTTATCGATTTAGATGTTGGTAATTCCCCACGGAGCTGATTGTTGACAAATCCAGTCACACAGAAGCGGAGAGACGTCTTGTTTTGAAATGTTTGACACATTTCACAGTTTATTGTTTATTTTAGAACATTTTATTGTTTTATTCCCAAGAGACTCGTTTTAAACCCTTCAAGTTCAGAGAAAAGCAAGTAAAAGTAATAATAAAGATCAGAATAAAATTCATTTAGTTGATGCATTTGAATATTTTCTGAAACCGTGTTTCGTTCTTTGTGATTTTATTTGGAGGGGAGTTTTATTCCCCACCGCGGAGCTCCGTTTTTACGCACTGACCAACCCCGCCTCGTTGCCCCTCTTTCCCCGTTTCTTTTTCTCTCTCAGGTAAAAGTTTGGTTTCAGAACCGGAGGACGAAGTTCAAGCGGCAGAAGCTGGAGGAGGAGGGTTCGGAGTCTCAGCAGAAGAAAAAAGGCTCTCATCACATAAACCGGTGGAGACTGGCGACGAAGCAGGCGAGCCCGGAGGAGATCGACGTCACGTCGGACGATTAAAAACAATGAAAAGGGACAAAACGCGCGTGGATGAAGGAGGAGTGGATTAAAGGATGACACGGGGACAAAGTCGGGGTTCTCTGCTGCTCCGGGCGGGTCCGTCGGTCCAAACGACCCAGGGAAACGCAGCGTCTCGGTATCCGAACCCTTCCACCCACATCTAGTTTTTTTCTCCAACTCATATTTTGCACTTCAAATTTTTTTTAACAATCAAGATCCAAAAAAAAAAAAATCCCCCAAACATTTATTTTTATTTTTGGGTATTTTTTTTAAATTGCATGGCGTATTTTCCTGCTAGTGCTTTTATTTTGAAAAGAAAACAACATTTTTTTCTTTCAAACTGCTTTTTTGGTCATTTTTTTACCGAGTGTGCAGTTTTTACTTAATGATTCTCGTGTAAAAGTGATTGTGAAACATATGAAGTAGCGGTGCTGCGTTTTGGTGTTTTTGGGTTTTTCAAAGGCAACAAAAAAAGGGGGGGGGTTTAGTTTTGATTTTTGATTTTCCAAAACTAAAATGTGTCTCAGACCGCAGAGAAAAGGCATCAGGACATTCCTTTAACCCAAAGCTTTACGTGGCTGTGACCCGCAGCCTTTGGCCCTCCGGAGAAAAGTTGCTGAAGGACTTTTAAACACAGATAAAAAATAGAAAATAAAACAAAACTTCAGGCACTGAACGTATTCCATGTACAGAAGTAATTCTGTTAAAACCCTCTTTTAGAGAATGTAAATACTGTTTGTGTTTGTGTTAAGTTTGCTACAATTTTAACACAAAAGTATACTTCAAAGAAGTATGTAATTGTCAATATTTTGTCAATAAAGTTTTATCAATATGTCGCGCGCAGTGATAGCACGAGCTTTTGATTGTAGGGCGGAGAGACGGAGGCGAGGGTTATTATTATTATTATTATTATTATTATTATTATTATTACTATTTGGTTGAGTTGGGAGCGAGTTTTCTGAGAAACTCAATATTTTCCACATCTTTAGATGAAATTGTTATTTTGAAAAAGCAACATTTTTGTTGCTCATATATTGATATTTTTGGTCTGATTGCGCTCAGATGTGGTGGATTTTTTTTAATTTGCTGGATAATTTGAAGGACGTTTTCTGCTGAGAAGCTCCAGAACCTTTTCTGGACTCAAACAGTTCCGTTCTGGTTTTTTCTTTGGCCTGGATGAGGTTGCAGCGTCTGCTGCGCTCCGGCCACAAAGAGGCCACTATGCAAGCTTTTTGTTGAAGTGCAAATCAGTTTGGGCAATTATCATGCGAGTGATATGAGGGGGGACACGAGAGAGGGAGGGAGGGGAGGAGGCATTGCCCAGTGGTCCATTTTAATCTCTTAATCCACGGATCCGAGGGGGCTTGGTTGGACATAATTTAGTACAATCTGACTACCCCTCACCACGCGATAAGAGAAGGTTGCAACGCGCCACAAAACCCGGATCTTTGTTTAAAATCTTGTCTTTTAGGCTCCATCCGGCAGGAAGATTCTGGAAAAATAACCAAAACTGACCTTAAAACAGGGGAAATTATCTCTAGTTTCTCTATTTTTACCTTTAGACTAAAATCTGAAAATAAAAGTAGAGCATAAATGTTTTAGAGAAAATTAAACAATAAAAGCTTTATTACAAACCCAGCTTTGAAATCGGGGGGATTAGAGTCCTGAAAGGGTCCCACAATAGTCAGAAGAAAAGGTTTCATGCTAATGAGGTTAATGCCCTTTGTATCTCCGGACTCCACAACTTCATTACTCCTATCTGAGGCTCACACACACACACACACACACACACACACACACACACACACACACACACACACACACACACACACACACACACACACACACACACACACACACACACACACAGCAGGATTTGATAGCAGTCCTGTTCAAACTAGATAATTATATCTTTTCAAGTTGGAATTAAGATAAAGAAAGTGCAGTGGAGGCGGGAAGCCTTGATCCGCCGCGAACAAATCTGCACACACGCGCACGCGCACCTTGCTCGCACTAGACGGACAGAAGCTTTGAGCACAAAAATAAAATAAAATAAAATTCAATTTAATTAAAAACGCGCAAGATTTCCAGCTTTTGTTCTGAAATTGTAAAATGAAAATTGGAAAAATAAATCAGCAGAAATCAAAACTTTTAAAATGGATTTAATTATTTCTTCATTTTAACCATTTAAATTTAAAATTTAAATCCTCATTAAAATTGGATGTGAAATTAGAATTAAATCACGTTAAAGTTTTAAGATAATTATTTTTATTATTTTACTTTTAAATCAAACATCATCACGTTTTTAAATATTTTTATTTTAATATTTAAACTTTTGACCAGTTGTTAGTTTAACTGGACTAAATTGGTCAGGGTTTATATTACAGCCTCTGAATGACTCGTTATTATAAGGAAACGTGTTTAATTTATTCAAAGTGAAAAATCGTAAAACCAATTTTGCGCCCGATTAAAAAAACACTTACAACGCGATTTTATTTGCGCTCCAGTTTTTATTATTTCATTTTATTTTAACCTCACTTAAACAGAAACTGCCAGGTCAGATGAAAATAATTGCTCCAAACAGGCGAAGTGCGCGCTGTGCGGTGAAGTGGGCCCTCAGATCGGATCCCTCCGCTTGATGCTTGTCTGGCGGGTCAAAGGTCAACCACGGGGACCTTTGGTGACCCGCTTATCTAAACTGAAGCTCCGCTTAACCGATAAATCATCGCAGCATCTGGAATATTTTTAATAATTCCTTAATGACTCACAAAGCCCTGAAATGGAAGAATAAAAAAGGTCCGTCTGCGTTAAAGACTCAATCTGAAATGATTATCCGCCAAAGAAAAGAGTCCTATCAGGTGACCCCGCTGACCCAAAACCTCTAATCTGCAATTAGTAGCTATAATTAGGCCCGTCGACACTCGTAGCCGAGGGAGAAGACAGGCGCGCTTTAGAGCGCAAAGTCAATAATTGATCCAAGCGACATCTTTAAAGATGGGAGAAGAGCTTCTGAAAGGGGGGAGCTTTAGGAGAGTTTGTCAACATGCGATCCGCGGAGGGAGGTTTTATTCCAGGCATCAGGACGCAGGTGGCACCTGCGCAACGGGCATGTCACCGAGCCGCGCGCTCGGAATCACCTGATCCGTCCTGTCCCACAAATTGCTTCTGAAACGGATCCCTGAAAGGAGACTCCTCCGGCCTCGTGGAGATAAATGGACACGACTATAATGACCAATTAGCATATCAATTATTTCCTCCCCGCTCTGGATTACGGGACGAAATTTGAGTTTAGAAGTTGGCGCGCGCGGTGCGTTCAGGGACGCAGTTTGGAACAAACATCCAGATTTTTTTCTCGGGTGAATTAAGTAAATTGTAAAGAGCACAAATAAGTAAATGTAACCGTTTTATTCTAATTTCGCCACTTTAGGAATAGATTCAGAGCAGTAAAGTAGTTTATAGACGCGCACACCAAAACGAGCCAGATTAAATGAAGGTTTTCCTGTTTTGACGCAGAAAGTGCGGTCTGACGCAGGCGAGGCTGACCTGTCAATAACAAAATCACAAAATAAAACAAATATGAGTCACGTTTAACATTCATGTGGTTTTTATGTGTGTTTTTGTGTTAATTTTAAATCCATTTTACAATCTAAATATTCTCGTTTCTGCATTTCTGTTCAGATCAGGCGGTGCTGCGTGAGCGCGCATACGTTAACGCGCTTTAAAATCTCACTCCGCAGAAACACATTTATTTATCTCACATGAAAGCCATCAATATGTTGATGCGGTTACCCACAATGCAGTTCGGGAAACAAACAGTAAAAGCCAGTTCTGTGAATAACAAAATAAAGAAAATTAATTTAGCTTTAATCCATTAAATAATATTTTTCTTATAAACAATCATTTCATGGGGTTCCCATCTCTGGGGCGAGGGCCGTGACTGATCCATGGATATGAAGTCACCAACACATGATGCTCGTATTAAGGGTCTTTTATTTTGAAAAGCTAGTATTTTTTATATTAAATAAAGGTAAAATATTAATATTATTTATGATTACTTGAATGTGTTGCTTATTGTTATACTTGATTCCTCAACTCGTGTGTGTGTGTGTGTTTTATTTAATCAGAGTTCCAGGTGACTGCAACGTGCAATTTGATGCAAAATTTATTTTTTTTACCCTTTTCAAACTTCATCAACACAAGAGCCAAGGCATCAAGAACCTTGTGAGCATTCAGAGACGCCGTGGAGAAATTCTGGCTGAAAAGTGTCAGTCCAGTTTCCACCAGTCACGTTGAGTCAGCCAGTCAGTAAGGGAGTACTACAGTGTGCTTTTAAAGAGCAAGTCACCCCTTACAAGAAGCGTACTTCACTCCCACTTCATGTTTGAAAAATGCAACAAATGCTGTTGCCTAGCAAACCGAGAGGGTGGAGCCACTAACAAATACACACACTCACGACATTGTGACATCATAATGTACCAGTTTACATCATAGCATACCTCTTAGCCAATAGCGATGGCAGATTTAAATTCAAATGCAGTGAAGAGTTTTTACCTGACAACGGCACAACACTGACAGTTTCAGGCAGAAAATTTAAATTTTAACTAAAATGCATTAAAGTGCAAAACTATTGACTACACGTGTCTGCAGCACGATTAGACACTCGTTTATTTAGTTTATCAGCAAAAAAAAGTTTATTTGGGGGTGACTTGCTCTTTAAAGAAAGTAAAGTAATTACTTCCATAAAGTCGTAGCCTAAAACTGAAGGATCCCCGTATCTTTTTAATCCATCTCTGTGGTCTATTTTTATCTGTTAAGCTGAAATAAAACAGGTTTTGATCAGAGTGAAGTTACTGTAAAAAATAGCCATAGATTTAACAGCGATAAACCATAAACCCATGGCAGGAAAAACCCGTCAACTATAAAACTAAAACAGTTGATTTGACATGAAGTTGTTGTTTATAAATTAATGAGTGAAAACAGTAATAAGCACATTTTTTCTTTGCAGAAAATACATAATTCTACAGTAACTCTTGCACAGTTTTTTAAACGGAAAGCTTCTTAAAGTTTATAACGGTAAAAACACTGATTTCAAATTCATTAATTGGAAAAATACAGCTTTTTATTACCGGTAATGGCATAACGAGTTTACTTCCTGTTTCCCAGTGTGCTTAGCGGCATTTAGGTGAGATCTGGCTGAACCGTGAATCAGAGGGAAGTGTCTGCTCTTGACGT